AATACATCCCGAAATCGACGCTGTCGCGGATCTGGAAAGACAGAGGAAAGATTGAAGGCACTGTTAAGAATGGGACCTTTACATCTAAACAGATGCGGACGACACCTTATGAACAACTAGAAAACTTCTTTTTCTGTGGTTCAAGCGTGTACGGAGTTCCAATTTGCCCATAAGCGGACCGATTCTCGAGCAGAAAGCTCGAGAGATCACCACGCAAATGGGTGTCACCTTTGCCCTAAGCGACGGACGGCTCAGCCGCTTCGAAACACGCCATGGCCTAGTCTTGAAATCAATATCAGGTGAGAATGGTGTAGTCAACAGGGACATTTGCACCGACTGGCAACAGGGGCGGTTTAAGGAAATTTTGATTAGCTTTGAGCCAGGAGACGTCTTCACCGTCGACCAGATGGGTCTTTTTTATACGGCGTTTCCATCAAAGACTCTCACCTTCAAAGGCAAAACCTGTAGTGGAGAAAAACGCAGCAAAGATCGCATCACTGTGCTGGTGGGTGCAAACACAGCAAGAGATGAGAAATTGAAGCTGTTGGTAACAGGAAAACCAAGGCACCCACGTTGTTTCAAAGGCCTTCGACACCTTCCCGTTGTGTACCATGGAACAGAAAAGCGTGGATGACCTTGGCCATTGTCGAAAACTGGCTTCGGGAGGAAGGCGCAAGATTTACTAGACCAGGCAGGAAGGTTGTCTTCAACGTGGATAATTGCCCAGCCCACGGTCAGGTTCAAGTATTCCAAGCCATCACTCTGGAGTTCTTGCAATGCAATGGCCGTGATCTAGCCAATGGATCGAGGGGTTATTCAGAACATTGAAGTTCATTACCGCAGACAATTGCTCCATCAAATGCTGCATAGAGCAGGCAGCGGGAAATGCTACAGCATAGATTTATTGGCAGGCATCCACATTTTGGCTTGTGTCTGGGAGCAAGTGAAGGCAACAACAATACACAGATGCTTAATCATGCTGGCTTTCAAGCACAAGAAAGCAGTACCTGATGGAGAAAAAAGCCCTGCTGATGCGGACATTGAGACAGTATTCAGTCAGGTCGTACCCTCTGCCCCTTTCACGCTGCAGGACTACGAATCAATTGATGAAAATGTTCGTACGTGTCGTGAAGAGACTGTCGAGGAAATGATTGCCGAAGTGCAAGATGAGGATCAACCTTCCAGCGATGAATGTGATGACAATACTGCCAGTGCAGTGGTGCCACCAGACCGATCAGCTTAAGAGGCTGTTGAACTTTTGCAGCGCTACTTTGAGCATGAAGCTTGTCCAGAATTTCTAGCTAGTTTGTCAGGCATGGGTGCGTACCTTGTGAAAAAACAACTCAAGCTTGCCAAACAAACCACTCTTCACTCTTTTTTTTTCTTCTACTCATTCTCATGAGTAAGGTGAGGTTTGTATAATTTGAATAAAGGTCTTGGTTCACTAAATAAGTGTACTTTATTTAAATGAAACTTCTGATAAATGGAACAGTTTTATGGATACCCTTCGAGTTCCATTTAAGAGGAGTTGACTGTATTTCTTTAACAAGCGTCCCATGTAAAATCATGGAACACGTTATATACTCTCACATGATGCACTTTCTTGAGACTAACAATTTTTTCATTTTTCCCAGTAAATTCTCATGTTGTAGAACACAACTCACTATATTTATTCATGATCTACATTGCAAACTTGATAATTCCTTTCAGACAGATGCAATCTTTCTTTACTTCGTAAAAGCGTTCGATAACGTACCCCATAAACGCCTACTACTAAAGCTTGCCCAGCTGAACCTGCACCCCAACATTCTCGCATGTATCACACAATTACTTACAAACTGCTTCCAGTTTGTCCCACTGAAAAGTAACCGATCTAGATTCCTCTCAGTACCCCCAAGGGTCTGTGCTGTCACCCCTCTTGTTTCTAATATATATTAACCATCTTTCCATCCATGTGTCTTCTCTGTCTTCTCGTATCCGTTTATTTGTGAATGATTACGCCATGTATTGCACAGTTACCAACTTTTCTGATCAATTTGCCCTCCAACAAGACCTTAACCTTGCACAAAAGTGGTGTGATCTTTGGCTGATAAAGCTTAATCCCACTAAATGCAAACTCGTTTCATTTCATCGCCAGCATCATCCTTTAACGCCCTCACACTTAATCTCTAATCCCACTGTTTCACAGGTTCAATCATATGAATAACTACATGTCACCTTAACGTCTGACCTTTCCTGAAACGCACACATCAACAACATCATATCATCCACAAACAGATACTTGGTTATCTAAAACATCATTTGCCTCACGCACCACCAAACATAAAACTTCTCACGTACAAATACCTCATCAGATCCAAACTAGAATATGCAGCGCTCATCTGGAGCCTGCACTAGGCATACTTAATTAACGAACTAAAATCTGTATGAAATTGTGCCGCTAGGTTCATCCATTCTTCATACTCAAATGATTTAATTAGTATATATCATTCCTAAACGTGAAAGTGATGTTGCTAATAATTGCGTGCGTCATCGCATCACCACTCTATGCTTGCTGCACAAATTCCTTCACAGTTTCTTCAATCAAGAAACTTACATCATCCCAACATCGCGCATATTTCATCGCACGACTTGTCCTTATTCATTTGCAAGCACATGTGCTCGCACTACTACTTTTGCCACATCATTCTTTCTTCGCACAGCAGTGGACTGCAATAGCCTCCTCCGTGACTTTGCAATCATCGAGTGTTCATCAACTTTTGTGGACAATATAACTGCATATCAAGGCCACTCTCTGTGACCCACATTTGTTAACCCACCCCTTATGTAATACCCCCTAACCGTGATCTTTAAGGTATCGAAGTGAAGATCTCTGAAATGGACAACCATACACGCTGAATTAAGTTGGCCTCTGGCCTGGGCATGCGCACACAAGTCTTTGTGTGTACTTTTTTTTCTGCAACTATGCACCACTTCAGTTGTTAATTAACATTTTTGGGGTGTCAACTTCACGCCCAGTCTCTATAACATGAATTCCTACAAACTAGCTCAGCCATCTGTCATTCTGAGGTAAAGGTGTTACTATTAACATCAATATTACATTAATGTAATGGGAAAAGTACAGCAGATGTTCAAGCACAAATCTTTTACTGTAGGCCTCCCCTGTTACATAGGAGAGCTCAAATGGGGTTCCCAACGAAAACAGTCATACAGGCAGGCAAGTTCGGTGCACTTACAAAGAGCGTCATTCATCTAAGTGCACTTCGCTAGACCTTAACATCACCTATGAAGTGTCACTCACAGATAATGGAGCAGTTTTATGAAAAACAATTAGGTGACTGAGTACACAGCCTCCCTTATAGCCGCTTCAATGGTAGAAATACGTAATATAAAAAGGACACAGGTGCTCATTTTGCTTGTTTATTAACCTTTAATAAAACTATTTCTGTTTAGTGAGAAGCAAAACAGCACATTAAAGAAATAAGGTTATTACACACGCAACTAGTGCCAATTTCCTTTCATAAATATTGTGTTTTTTTTACATAACTTGGTTGGACTAGTTGGATGTGCGCTCTCTTCTTGCGGATGTGCGCTCTCTTCTTTGTGCACGTCTTCAAGCACATCCACATCCACAATCTCAACATGTTTCTTTCTACAGACTCAAGTGGTTTGTATTGCACATTGTATTTCTCTTTGTTCCTTCTCAATTTTATTAATAATACAATATAAAAAATTGGGGGACCTTTAGAAGTTAAACGCGATAGCGAAATCCGGCCCCTAGTGCACCCTTCAACCGCTAAGTGCATACTTATTAATATGTTTTGTTACATACACACACAGTAGATTGTAGTAGAATGCGTGCGGGAATGGTACATACAGGTTTTTTATCTAAAGCAAGAGTCGCATCGCCTCCAAGATACACGCCACGCGCTCCCCATGTCGGAGGCCATAAAAAGTCTCACAATGCCTCACAGATGGCAGTGCATTATCTCGTGTTTGCTGTTTGCTTGATCAAAGCCTCTGGGAAGGCATGATATTTCTCCACTAGATGGACATAGTTGTCTATTTTTAGAGCTGTTCAAGAGTTCCTGTGTGTTTTAGTGGTGATGGCTGCACTATCCCTGTCTTTTTCGACGTAGTTTCAGGCCTCCCAAATGCGCCTACAAATCGCCCAATGGGCTCATTTTTGTCGTGATACCTGTCCAACTAAGTGCGTTAAAGGGGCCCTGAAACACTTTTTCAAGTAACCATGGAATGAATTCACTAGAAGAACTTATTGCCTCATGCAATGCTTCAAAAAATGTTAAGAATCTGTCCAGTCCGAGTGGAGTTACAAAGGGGTTTGTCGCATGCTGCGATTGCAGAATCTCTTCTCTCGTCCCGACGAAAGCGCTGGAAGCTAAGCAGGGAGGGGTGGTAGAGGCAAAGAAGCTACGTCACCCGCACCTCGTGACTTTGGGCACTTCTTTCTTTTTTTTTTCCTTCGAATGCGTGGCTTTTTTGGTGTAATCGCGCGCGCACGCATGGACAAGTAGCGGCCTTCCGCGACGATCTCTGTAGTGAGCTTTTTCGCTCACGGACGAATTTTCACTCACAACTAATGGGGCCGACGCCAAGAGCGAAATTTCTGCGACACCAGCTCTCTAACGCCATTGCGTTAGAACAGTCACTTTTAATTAAATCACTTTCTAGAAGTCATTTTTCCTGCGAGTGCACGTTGCATTTCTGTTAAGCACTGGGTATCCTAGGGTGTGATTCAAGGTCCTGAAGTGCGCTCCCTGTAACTGCAACTAACTTGCCCACTCGACAAAAGTATTACTTGAGCCTTCAAAAGTTTTGGTTATTAGAAAAAGGCGAACGGCTTTATGTTTTGCAACTGACATGGGAGCATCACGTGGAATGTACAGTAAAAGAGAAGCAATACAAAGCCAGGAGAAAAGGAACCCAACCTGCTGATTTAAATAACAAAAGAACAATCAAGAAGAGCAAATGTCACGCACCTACAGTTGTATGCCGAGAGAAATGACCCATGGCCTGTCGTGCCCGCCTTGCCGTCAAGGGCAGGGTTGCCAACTTCCCCATTTTCATGGCTGCTTCCTGAGAACACAACAGGAAAAGTAAGAAAATTTGATTTTTAGGGTTTTAAGTCTTGCAACCACAATGTAATTACAAATACACCTTATACCCTTGTCACACTGGAGGTGCTAATGCCATTGGGTACAAATATCATTCGGTGCAATGAATGCCATTCAATTCGTAGTGATGCTACACAGGAAAACGTAATGCCATTCGTTCATTATATCGATGTGAATAATTCAGAAATAAAGCGTGGCTGGGAAAGTTGGGGAAGGTAAATGTAGAGTGATAGAAAAGTGAAATTATTTATTTTCGAAGACATGCAGAAAGTACTAGCTTCACAAAATAAATATGCATAAAAATTTTGTATCATGAAATATGTGGCCACCATAAACCATGACGATCTGTTTAGCCACTTGCCAGAGCCAATAGAATTAACAAAAGCAACAAGGCGTGCACGGCATGACAAAAAGAAAAAAAAGCTGGAAAGTAAACATGTAGCATCTATTTAGATTTTTAGAACGCAAAGTAAAAAATGCACAGGTATAGATTGCGGTGCAACCGCACAAATAACAATAATGTGGAGTAGAGTGTTCGGTGTTTGTTCATTTTAGACCATAAAACACGGCCTCGTGCGCGTCCATGCGGGCAAACAGCTTGCGACAAAACTGATGTAGCATTATAAAAGCAAGTGTCTCCACCTGGGTTCACTGAGCTTGTGCAGCTGATGCCATCATTGCACGTACACGCATACATGTGCACAGATGCGTTTGCTTGTTTACATTATGGCCTACAGCACCAGCGACTCAGAGTTATTCAACCGTAAGAGTTGCAAAACTCCCCATAGACTCCGTGTATTGAAATCCGGACACATCATTGATTCTGATGTCGGGAGTGAGCAGATTGTCACAACACCTATTGATAATTACACTCACTATTAAACACATTATTTTTGTTTTCTGCTGTTTCCTTCAAATGGCACAACAGTCAGCCGACTCCCGAAAAACTTGGCCAACTGCATGTCTGGATATTGGAATGCAGTTTTGTAACTGGTATGATTGAATAACTCTGCCGGTGGCGAAACGCCACACTTAGGTGGACAGTACAGCCATTTTGCCACAGAATTTTTTGCACTCTTTTCTTGTTAAAATGATAGACGCTTTAAAAAAGCAACATGGATGGTAGCATGTTTGCATGAATGAAGGTCAAATTTAAAATGCCGAATAATGCCACTTTTTTAAGCAGTATCTGAGGTTGAGGGTATGTATACGGCTTGACTGCAACGGCGAATGTGTTTCTCGAACTCAATCGATTGCTTAAGTCATTACATTCTGATACCACTATATAAATCTGTTTAGCAGCCACAATTCATTAGATGTGAATGTCATTCTATTCATCATCATCATCATCAGCCTGACTACGTCCACTGCAGGACAAAGACCTCTCCCATGTTCCGCCAGTTAACCCGGTCCTGTGCTTGCTGCTGCCAATTTATACCCGCAAACTTCTTAATCTCATCTGCCCACCTAATCTTCTGTCTCCCCCTAACCCGCTTCCCTTCTCTGGGAATCCAGTCAGTTACCCTTAATGACCAGCGGTTATCCTGTCTACGCGCTACATGCCCGGCCCATGTCCATTTCCTCTTCTTTATTTCAACTATGATATCCTTAACCCCCGTTTGTTCCCTAATCCATTCTGCTCTCTTCTTGTCTCTTAAGGTTACACCTACCATTTTTCTTTCCATTGCTCGCTGCGTCGTCCTCAATTTAAGCTGAACCCTCTTTGTAAGTCTCCAGGTTTCTGCTCCGTAGCTAAGTACCGGCAAGATACAGCTGTTATATACTTTCCTCTTGAGGGATAGTGGCAATCTACTTGTCATAATTTGAGAGTGCTTGCCGAATGTGCTCCACCCCATTCTTATTCTTCTAGTTACTTCAATCTCGTGGTTCGGCTCTGCGGTTATTACCTGCCCTAAGTAGACATAGTATTTTACAACTTCAAGTGCACTATTACCTATCTCGAAGCGCTGCTTCGAGATATGCTATTCAAATGACATTAAAACGCTTAATGTGACAGGGGTATTAGCAGGGCTATCTGGATTAATCTTGAACACCTAGGATAAATAAGAGTTTAAAAGCTATTTGGACAATTTATTGTTCCTTCTTTGTGGTGTCCTTTTCTATTCCAGAGCAATTTTTCCTGTGTTATAATGAACCAACTACTCCCCAAGACGTCCTGTTAAGTGTTCATTTTTTGTGGTGTCCTCATCTATTTTAGCACAATTTTTTTTGCATAGAATGAACCAACTGCTCCCCAAGACGCCCTGTTTAGGGTTCCTTCTTTGTGCTGTCCTTTTCTATTTAGCGCTCTTTTTCCTGTGTTGAATGAGCCAGCTACTCCCCAAGATGTCTTGTTTAGTTTTCTTTTTTTGTGATGTCCTTTTATATTTTAGCACAATTTTTTCTGCATAGAATGGACCAGCTAGCCCCTCCCTGAAAGCCTCCTGGTCTTTTTGCATTTTGCCTTTGAGAAGTGTTGCCAACATGCCAAAAAATAAATGGCACCTCTGCTGAAGGATGGGCAGCCTTTCTCGTTTCTGTTATCGCCTTCCTTTACTTCTTTAATTCTCTATCTTTTTCTTCAATCCTAGTCTTCATTTCTCTTTATGTCTAGCTCTCTGTTCCTATCTTTTTCTCTCTCTCTCTTTTTACCCTTTAATTCTTTATCCCTTTATGTCCCTCTCAATTGATGTGTTGCATGAGTTCCACTTTGCAAAGCAGAGTATTCTTTTAAAGCTCGCACCTGCTGTGCTCGGTAGTGGGGCTAGCCCAATTCCTGTGATGCATACCCCCCCCCCCCCCCCCCCCCCCCGGTTTGATTTTTGTTCACGCTGGATAGGTTACAGCTTGCTCAAACAGCTCTGCTGTTTGACAAGCTATTACAGCAGCAGCAAAGTAAAACCAGTTACTAATGAGGTGTAGTCTGGGGCAGCATGTCAGAGGAGTCCCTTCAGCCCACTTCTGTTCCATTGTTATTTTATTCGCCATTCACAGCCACCTGACCCTAGTGGTAGTATGGGCACAGTGCCACTATAGCACGTGAAAGAATAACACACCAATGTCATTATCCTGGCTCTGAGCAGCATGAAAATACATTTCATTGATAGACGAAAGACTTGCAGCGCTTTTAAATGTCTGCACTAAGGCACATGATGCAAGCAACCAAAATTTCTGACAACTGTAAAATAAGTAAATTTGCTGCCTGAAATTCACTCACGAGTAAACTTGGAACATGCAAATTTAGTTGCAACTGAAGCATAATATTCTTAAAATAAACTGAATGCTGCACACTGTAACGGTGCCAACTGAATGCAGGCATGTCTATACAAAATAATCTCCATATAATGAATACGAAAGGTCATGTATCATCAGATACAACTGTTTCTTTTTCATCCATCCAACCAATACCACATCACTTACACTAAATATACTTACAATAAAAGTATTATCATGTCATAAAAATCACATCATACCAAGTGTGGCTTCAGGGTGCACAGTTACACTGTGAAATATTAAATAAATAAATTCAAAACTTTCATAATTTTGTTTAAAGTTATTGCCCTCTGGATTTCCATGAATAGGGAATAAACATCCAGTGTACATTGAGACTTGCAAGATAATTCATCTAGAATATTGCAAACACACCCGCACAGGACATGTCCTTAAAAAAAAGTCCAACATTCTTCTCTCACACTGTCAGCCATTATATTGCTTTAACACCCATTGAAGACATCAATTCTGAATGTATAATGTTACAAAGGGCATAGATTTGTTACCTTGCATAAATATAATGCTATTTCTAGAGAAGATGCTTATTTAGCAGCTCGTTGAACAGTGTAATTTTTTTCTTTTTCTCAACATTTAGTGATACCGTCAATCCCACCAGGGATTTTCACAGGAGTGAGATCAAAGAATCTATAGGCATTGTAAATACTTTGATTAAATCATGTGCTTAAAATTAAGTGTGGCTGTTATATTAATTAATTTTAGACCTTCAAAGATGAACATTTGGCAGAGGTCTGCCTGGTTGGGATAAGAATGAGGATATTAGAAAACTCCAACCAAAAATTGTATTAAAAAAACTTGACGTTTCGAAGCCAGACTGGCTTCTTAATCACAGGTGAGAAAGCCAGCGGTGTACAGCCCTCCGCAAGAGTAATAACGCGAGTCACTGCAACGATACCGCGTGTCAATCCCATATGTCATCGGCGCCAGCAAAACAATAGCCCGCATACTGAAAAGGGCAAGGGTCAACGTCGCACACAAGCAATCCACCACTATCGATTAATTGATTTGTGGGGTTTAACATCCCAAAACCACCATATGATTATGAGAGACGCCGTAGTGGAGGGCTCCGGAAATTTCGACCACCTCGGGTTCTTTAACGTGCACCCAAATCTGAGCACACGGGCCTACAACATTTCCGCCTACATCGGAAATGCAGCCGCCGCAGCCGGGATTCGAAACCCCGCGACCTGCGGGTCAGCAGCCGAGTACCCTAGCCACTAGACCACCACGGCAGGGCAATCCACCACTATCGGCAGCTTCATCCCTCGCCCCAAAGATCACGCGCCTGCGGAAAAATCCCAAGGCGTCGTATATCGGATCGAGTGCGCCAAATGCCCTGCTTCCTATTTTCAAGAAACAAATAGTTTACATGAAAGGATGCGACAGTACAAACGTGACCTCCGTCAACTGAACAGCCAACGAAGCACAGTAGCAGAAAACTGCGGCTTGTCTATCACTTCCACCCAGATGACATAATGATTCTGGAAAACAAAGGAGCACATGCCGGCGACTCCTTCTCGAATCCTGGCACATTCAGCAGACAGCCGGGAGCATCAACCACTCCGCTGGAACATTGCCCTCCCTGTACGCCAGGGTTTGCGACGGGTCACGGCGAACCTCTCATGCAAAGCGAGCAAGCGCATATAAGCGGCGTACATCTCTGGCTTTCTCACCCCTGAGGAAGAAGCCGGTTCGGCTTCAAAACGTCAGGTTTCTGAATACAATGTCTGGTTGGAGTTTTCTAATTGCTTCATTTTAGACCCTGCTTGCAAAAAATGCTGTCTAGCACTTCCTGAATAATTCTGACAAAAATAGTGATTCATCCTGCAAATATTACCGAAGTAGCACAGACAATTGTTGATACAGATGCGTGTATTTAGAACAGTGCAATAAAGCAAACGAATAGACAAATTATCACACAAACAGAAGCGTCAACTCACAACTGTACTATTGATTAAACTTTTGTTGCACGTCAGTGCTTGGGTTCGTGCGATCACTTCTTTTTGTCTGTTTTGTTGCACCATTCTAAATCCATGCAAATGTTACCTGGGCATAGCACTGAGCACAGTGTATTCGTTGACTTTTGTCTTAGCTGAAATAAATATTGGCTGCATTTTTAGTTTGCCCAGTGCAGAGAGATAAATTATGCATTGTCTGCGAGACACACTTAAAATGCACCAAGTTGTGGCACATGCAATTTGCTGCAAACATTTTAATTAGCCTGCACAACTCCACTTTTGCCTACAAATCACACTACCTACGACAACATTTCTCCCAAGTAAAAACATATGAATTAGCCTGCACAACTCCACCTTTGCCTACAAATCACCACTCCTCATCAGACAGCTCGGGGTTGCTGCCATCCGTTCTTTGATCTTCCTTGAAGTCATCTGGGCTTCCATTCTCCGCAAAGCCACTCTCATCCCCAGCCCTTAAGTCATCCTCATCATCCAAGTCACCATCAGCTTTGTCCTTGCTATGACAACATTTCTCCCAAGTAAGCAAAGAATCTTATCTCAGGGCATCCCAGCACAGTGTACTGAACAATGCTCTGTTTGCAGTCAACATTCAGGATGAAGTACTTGTAACTGTAAAGTAATTAAAATGCCAAGACTAAACTGTGCTCCTGAACTTCACCTATTAGCCATTATCTGTAATACACTCTTTGTGTTTTTCACCAAGCCAACAGATGTCACTGGAGCAACTGACTGAGTCTTGTAATGCATGAAAAGACAAAAATAAAAATGTGTTCAGTAGTCAAGTGCAACACAATTATATATAACAGAAACTTTGGAGAAAATCTATTGTAATAAAATGTTAAATTTCTTCTACATATTTTTGTGAGTTGAAAATTGACGTCTTTTCAGTTATACAATAACTCTGGGAAGCATTGCGAACTGCAGCAGTAGGTCACTTGAGTATGCGAGTTTCTAAAAGGGATGCAACATAGTAATCTAAACAAATTAAACACTTATCACTTGCAATACACTTCTACTTAACCAAATAAAAAGAATGCCCTCAATAAGGAGGTCAATAAAAAGCAACTAGAACAAGCCTCTTAATAGGTATAAAGAATAGGTGAAGACAAATAACCATTTTCAAAAGAATAGTAACAACGTCCACACCTCAAAACTTGAGCACATGTTTTCAATTCAGTCGCCCCCATTTACCCTGAATATGAAATATGCTGTTCTTGGTCCTTCCAAGGAAACATGAAAACAATGTTCATACCATATGGCTCAGATGGGGCTATAAACAAAAGTTTCGCTGCTTTCATAACGCCCCTATTGGGCTCTCCCATTTTCCTGTATATTGCTGTCAACACTGTTCATACATCCTCAAAATATAAAAGTTGTGAGAGATTAGTGAAAACTGTTTGAAAAACTGCTTACAACTTTCTTATGCTTCCAGTCACATTATAGCTTCACTGTGAAATCGAGTGCATTGTACCGAATGTAAGACTGGCAGCACAATGCAACTGCAAGCATTTACAACACAATCACTCATATGAGTTTTCTTTGAAAAGGACCCTCTCTCTGCTCACGCAAGATAATTATGCTTCAGTAAATCTTACCTGTTGCCTTGCCGAGCTGCATCCAGGCTGCCATTTCCTCCTTTGTGTATGGGTTAAGTTCGTCCTCAGCAACTCTGTCTTCACCAGCTGCAGATCTCATCTCTTTGACTTCACCGGTACCTTCGTCAGCTCCTTTCTCGCTACCGCAGTCCTCACTTGTTTCCACAACTGCTGGACCATAGCGCATTGGCCTTCCTTTCTTTCGCCTGTTACCTGTAGCTGGCCGCCTCAACTCTTCATTACTGGCATCCAAGTCTTGTGAGGACAAAGGACCATCGCCACCGCTTTTCTCATCTGCCTGTGCCGATTCAACAGGTGCTGTCGCCATGGGCATGGCTTCCAAAGGATAGATAATGGTTTTATTGTCCTCCTCGCCTTCTTCATCATCAGCCTTCCTATCTGCTTCAAGCGAGCCAGTAGGGCTCCCACTGTCTTTTGTGCAAAGTGCCACGGGCATCTCAGCTGCCACTGGACTAGCTCGTTCCTCGTCAGACAGCTCGGGGTTGCTGCCATCCGTTCTTTGATCTTCCTTGAAGTCATCTGGGCTTCCATTCTCGGCAAAGCCGCTTTCATCCCCAGCCCTTAAGTCATCCTCATCATCCAAGTCACCATCAGCTTTGTCCTCGAGATCATCTATGTCCTCCATGTCATCGTCATCTTCCTCCTCCTTGCTCTGATCAACCGAGTTGAGGATGCGAACCGCTGTCTTCTTTAGGAAGGAAACCAGCTTGAGCGAGCCTTGTGGGTTGTCGGCAGGGTCTTCTCCGCTGGCAGCGGCGCCCCCATTGGCACTGCCGCCGGCAGGCACCGCCGCGGCGCGGCTCCTAGCGGCCGCCGCGCGTCGGCGCCGTCGCAACTGGTCCCGCTGGCTTACATCAGAGTGGAAGCGGATGATGTGATGGCGCAAGTTGCGACGCTCACTGAACCCACGACCGCAAGCTTTGCAGTAGCATGGCTTGACACCTGTGTGGATGCGTTCATGGCGCTGCAACGAGAAGATGCGGTCAAACGACTTGCTGCAGTAGCTGCACTGGAAGGGCAGTCGCATGCCTGCTTCTTGGCTCGATGAGGGGCACGAAGAGCCGCCCTTGGAGCTGCCGCTGCTGGGGCCACGTTGTGCGGGTGCAGGTGGCGGTGCAGCACAGTGTGGTGATGTGAACTCCGGCACCGAGGAGGTCGAAGACGGGGCCACGGATGTCGTCGGGGCCATACCGAGTGGCAGGCCCATGGTGAGGTTGGGCAGTGACCCCGGCTGCAGAAAGTGGCCCGCCAATGCGCCAAGCTGAAGGGCCTGGTCAAACGAGACTCGTGGCTCGCCAATAAGCGCCTCCGGAAGCGGGCTCAGCACAGGCAGGCCAGTAGGTGGTGGCAAGCCAGCTTTGCCCTCTATCACCTGGTGCACCTGTTCGTGGACAAGAAGCTGGCTACGCCACTTGAATACAGCACCACACTTATCGCAGTGATGCTCCTTGACAGCACGTGTGTGCGCCTGCAGGTGGTCACACAGGCCACGCAGGCTTGGCTGAGTCTCGCCACAGATGCCACACTTGTACAGGGTATACTGCTGTTCTGTAAGTGGGTTTACCACGTCAACCTTGCTCGCCAGCGGCACCTCAGCCTGAAGCTTCATGCTGCGCCAAGCATCCATGCCAAGCAGCGAAGATGGAGATGGCAGACCAGCAGCGGTCAAGCTCGAACCCAGATTGGGCGCCGTCATGTGCGACAAGCTTCCCACGCACGACGTTGTGGTGGGCACATCTTGGGACTCGGACTTGACAGGTCCGTAACTGTCGGGCACCTCTTCTTTCTTGACTGGTGGCGCTGAGTCAACAGGCGCGGCGTCCTGGGGAAACTCTGGAGGCAATTCCGGCTGGGATCGGCCTTCGATGGGCCGTGGGAGTGAGAGGTCCTCCTCCCGGCTGTCGTCCGTCGGCTGCTCGGCGCCGCAGAAGGCACCCCCCGGTGATGATAAGTCCGGCGGTGCATCCCTCCGGAGCCTCGAGAGGCGCGGCTCTACAGCAGGCGCCGCGCTGTCATGCGTCGTCTTGATGTGGAAGCGCAATGTGTGCAGGTACTTGAAACCGCGGCCGCACTGTTCGCACGAGTACGGCTTTGCCGCAGGAGTGCGCCGGCTGTACGGCTTGGCCTGCTGCTGGTGTTGGCGCAGCACATGCGCCGCGTATTGCGCCATCAGCTGCTCGGGTGACTGCTGCTGGTGCTCCATGCTGGTAAAGATGGACCCGACCGGGGCGCTCAGCGACGGCACCGCGCACGGATGCAGGGACGACGAAGAGGAGCTGCTGCTGCTGACATGGCTGCTGGCGACGTCACACGGCAGAATCATCGCACGAGGTGGCAAGGACCACGCTTCTCTGGTGTCGTCGAGAGACCTCTTCGGTCTCGGGGAAGAGCACACTTCGACGCTAACAGTATGAGGTAGTAGGTCTATGAACGGCACTGAGATTCTCCAGTTTTCGCATTACCCGTAATAAAGGTGGCTCACTTGAGACTCGTGTTTCTTGGAGGCAGGTCAATGTCACCCATGCCATGTGATGTTCCTGCGAGAGAACCAAGACATTATGTAGTAAGACGGCGGGCTGGCTCACAAAACAATCGCAAGATGCTTAGTGCCATGGCGCACCCATGCTTTTGCATTCTTCTGAACTCTTTTTGGGGGGTGGCTGGTGAACACAAAGCGAAGAGTATAACAGAAGAATGCCAGAGCATGGAAATCCTTAACGACTGGAAGCCCACAGCACTAAGGCTCTCTATCCTACTTACAGGGCAGCGGTCAGGTTTGCTACAAGAACAATCTTCTAAGAATAGAGGGCCGCATAGATATTGTTACGTGAGTAACGAGACAAAGTATTGCGAATATATTCGAAAAATATATTTGCAAGAGCGGTTGCAGCACTGGCCAGTCTGGCTCCGAGCTCGAGCAGCCAGCGAGCCTCATCTTCTTCGTCGGGCGCACACGCGCATTCGCACTATGGTTTGTGGCAGCCTACAGGTAGCATAACCCCCGTCGGCAAAGGCGCCGTCTCGGCGCATCTAGATGTCAAGATCATTGGGCGAGTGGTACTGCTTCAGGCGTGCGACGTGTACGATGTCGCTGGCCCTAGGGGTGGATGAAGACGGCGAGGCAGCAGGAGTGATTTCATAAGTGACGGGAGTCACCTCACGAAGCACTCTGTAGGGCCCTGTGTACCGAGAGAGCAGCTTGTCAGACAGGCCAACGTGCCTGGTCGGAGACCACAGCAGAACCAACGAACCGGGCGAAAAGTGCACATCGCGGTGTCGTTGGTCGTACCGACGCCGTTGGTTTGCTTGGGAGGTCAGAAGGCGAGCACGAGCGGTTTCGCGTGCGTGGGCGGCCCTGCTGATGGCGTCCAGAGCATATTGTGAAGTTGGAGCTGCTGGTAACGGAATCGTCGTATCGAGGGGTAATGTGGGTTCGCGGCCGAACAGCAAGAAAAAAGGGGAGTAACCAGCCGTGTCGTGGCGCGAAGAATTGTAGGCAAATGTCACGTATGGTAAAGCGATGTCCCAGTCAGAGTGATCTGAGGAAACGTACTTTGCAAGCATGTCAGTTAGGGTTCGGTTCAGGCGTTCTGTGAGGCCATTTGTTTGCGGATGGTACGACGTAGTGAGCTTGTGGCGTGTTGCACAAGAGCGTAGAATGTCCGCTATGACTTTCGATAGAAATGTGCGGCCTCGGTCCGTGAGCAGCTGGCGTGGAGCACCATGTTGCAAGATCACGTCGTGTAGAAGAAAATCGGCGACGTCAGTGGCGCAACTTGTTGGAAGGGCGCGTGTGATTGCGTAGCGTGTGGCGTAGTCTGTGGCCACAGCTATCCACCTGTTGCCAGCAGAAGACAGAGGAAAAGGGCCGAGTAAGTCCAAGCCGACGCGAAAGAAAGGTTCAGTAGAAATATTGAGTGGTTGAAGGCGCCCAGCCGGAAGCGTCGATGGTGTTTTGCGGCGCTGACATTCCTCACACGCCGCGACGTATCTTCTGACGGACCGTGCCAGACCTGGCCAATAGAAGCGACGGCGAATCCGGTCGTATGTGCGGGACACACCCAGGTGACCGGCAGTAGGAACGTCATGAAGTTCGTGGAGTACAGCCAAGCGGAGGTGTTTGGGTATGGCAAGCAGCAGAGATGGGCCGTCTGGATGGAAGTTATGCCGGTATAATGTGCCATTCTGGAGTACGAACGAGCGATAGGATCGGTTCGATGGGGAGGAGTCGAGGCGCTCAATGATAGCTCGTAGGGCTGCATCACGGCGTTGCTCGTCGGCTATGTGGTTCAGTTGAGAAACGGAGCACACGCAGGCGTCGTTGTCAGGTATGGTGGCCGATGGGTCAACTGGATAGCGAGAAAGGCAATCGGCGTCCTGGTGCAGGCGTCCAGACTTGTATATCACAGAAAAGGTGTATTCTTGCAGTCGCAGAGCCCAGCGACCAAGTCGACCTGTAGGATCTCTTAAGGATGAAAGCCAGCAGAGCGCGTGGTGGTCGGTGACGACGGAAAAGTGAGTGCCATATAAATATGGACGGAATTTTGAGACCGCCCAGACAAGAGCAAGGCATTCTCGCTCTGTGATCGAATAGTTACGCTCTGCAGGTGTAAGGAGGCGGCTAGCATACGCGATAACGCGGTCGTGTCCCTGTTGGCATTGGGCGAGAACGGCTCCGATACCGTGACCACTGGCATCAGTTCGGACCTCAGTTCGGGCAGATGGGTCAAAGTGGGCGAGGATAGGGGGCGTCGTCAAAAGTGTTATGAGGTGAGAGAAGGCGGCAGCTTGAGTGGACCCCCACGAAAATGGAACGCCTTTCTTCAAAAGATCGGTAAGTGGTTGGGCGATTGCCGCAAAATCTTTCACGAACCGCCTAAAGTAGGAGCAAAGTCCCACAAAGCTCCGGACATCTTTGGCGGATTGGGGTACTGGGAAATTCGTGACGGCACGAATTTTCTCAGGGTCCGGTCTCACACCAGAAGCATCGACAAGGTGGCCCAGCACGGTAATCTGTCGGCGGCCGAAGTGACACTTCGAGGAGTTCAACTGGAGGCGAGCTTTGCGGAAGACGTCGAGAATGGCCGACAGACGCTCAAGGTGGGTCTCAAACGTAGGTGCAAATACGAGGACGTCGTCTAGGTAACACAGGCATGTTGACCATTTGAACCCGTGTAGCAGAGAGTCCATCATACGTTCGAACGTGGCGGGGGCATTGCATAGGCCGAAGGGCATAACCTTGAATTGGTATAGGCCATCTGGAGTGATGAAGGCGGTCTTTTCTTGGTCTTTCTCGTCTACGGCAATCTGCCAATAACCAGAACGAAGGTCGATGGATGAAAAGTAGCGTGCGCCGTGGAGACAATCGAGGGCGTCATCAATACGTGGTAAAGGATACACGTCCTTTTTGGTGATTCGATTTAGATGCCGGTAATCGATGCAAAAACGCCATGTGTTGTCCTTCTTTTTAACCAGGACGACGGGTGACGCCCATGGGCTTGATGAGGGCTCAATAATGCCTTTAGTTAACATCTTATTCACTTCAGCTTGAATAATCTGGCGCTCCGACGCGGACACGCGATACGGTCGACGGTGAATGGGAGCAGCATCACCGGTGTTGATGCGGTGCTTTACAAGAGAAGTTTGGCCGAGTGGGCGGTCGTCAAGGTCGAAGATGTCACGGTAGGAAGCTAGAAGGTGTGCGAGAGCGGCTGATTGCGCTGGGGGAAGGTCAGGGTCGATCATGGGACGTATTGACATGTCGAGGCATGTGGCATCGAGTGGGCGACAAGGAAAATTGGGGCATGCGTCGGCTGCGAAAGTGGTGACGTGATCATCGGCTAAGGACCGCAACGTGGCAATTAGGATGCCTTCAGGGAGGACTTGCTTTGTGAAGCCGAAATTTATGACGGGTAGACGGGTCCGGTTGGAGGCTACAGTTACGATGCAGTGAGGGACGGTGACGTCACGTGCCAGTAGGACATCAGGAATCGGCGTGACGATGTAATTCCCATCCAATACGGGTGAGGTCGTGGCGAATTCGGTGAATGTGAGGGCTTTAGGCGGTAAGCGGAGGAAGTCTGTGGCAGAAAGGCCGTGTTGAGGTTCAGGGTGAATATCCGGCTGAAGAGGAAGGTCTAAGCAAAGAGTACCAGCGGAACAGTCGATCAGAGCAGAATGGGTCGACAGGAAGTCCATCCCTAAGATGAGGTCATGAGGACAGTTCTGGAGCACCGTGAATAGAACAGGGATGTAACGGTCGGCGATGCGTATGCGAGCCGTACACATGCCAATGACAGGAACAGTGCCGCCATCGGCCACACGTACAGCTTCGGTAGCAGGGGGCGTGAGTACTTTTCTTAAGCGGCGACAAAGATGAACGCTGATTATGGACACATGAGCGCCAGTATCGACTAGTGCCGACAGAGAAATACCGTCCACGTGTACATCGACAAGATTTTTGTTCGTATGAAGCGTCAATGGAGGGTTTGGTTCAGACAGGGATGATGCAGCACTACCTCCAGGGGCTGCACTGTCTAGTTTTCCGTCGGGTACGATGAAAAGTTAGGCGGCGAGTGATGGCGGCGTGGCTGGGGCGACGGGGAACGACGGCGTTGAGGGGACGGAGAACGAGCAGGAAGGCGGCTGTTAGACGTGTCGAAAGCAGGGGCGGTACGGCTGGACGAATACCGGCGAAGATCTTCATATGGGCTATAAGGTGCGAAAAACTGGCTCCTATGTGGCGGCGTCCAGGAGGCACGGCAGTAGCGGGAGACATGTCCAACGCGGTGGCACCGGAAGCAGATCGGTTTGTCGTCAGGAGTTCGCCATTCCGCCGGGTTGCGAGATCGTGGAGCAACAAATGGGTCACGTCGAGGTGCATTAATGGGAATTGGTCTGGAGGAGGGGCAAGAGATGGGGCAAGCATCAGGGAACCCGCGGTTGGCGAATTCTTGTCGTACGACCGCCTGAATAACGGAGATCGCGGGGGTTGTCGGTATCGTATGTTCGAAAGAAGTGGGCTGAAGCGGCGCTGGACCTTGCTGCTTCAAGTTCCCGTCGAACGATACGCGTTACACTCTGCTCAAAGGGCGGTGTGACGGTAGAATCGGAGCAGGTGGACGTAGCCGCCGTGTTTGGCAACCGAGAAAAAGGAGGGCGCACCCGACGGCTTTTTGCTGTTTCGAAACGGCGGCATTCTTGAATTACACGGTCGATGGTCGAGACGTTAGTGTACACCAGCAAATTGAAGGCGTCGTCCGCGATCCCCTTCAAAACGTGTCCAACCTTTTCAGCCTCAGACATCGCCTCGTCCACTTTTCGGCAAAGAGCGAGAACTTCTTGGATGTATGACACATACGATTCAGTTGGCGACTGGACACGGGTAGCCAGCTCCTGTCGTGCAGCTGCGTGGCGACCGGTCGGGTCCCCAAAGATGTCACGTAGCTTCTCCTTGAACGTGTCCCAGCTGGTGAGTTCGGACTCATTTGTCTCGTACCAGACACGCGGGGTTCCGTCCAAGTAGAAGAGAACATTA